GGACTTCTCGGTGCCGGCGAAGCTGCGCAATACCTTGACAGACTTCATCAAGAAGCGCCCAAACATGCTGATCAAGTTCCTGAAGCGAGAGACCAATGATAAGTGTAGCCTCAGTGACGAGACACCAGAACAACTGGGCACATTTGTGAACTACTTCTTGAGGGTTCCCGGCTACGACCCTGCCGACTTGCAGGGCGACGCTCACGGAATCCCAACGCCGTGCCGAGACTATCTCTTCAAGGAACAGAACATGGATGTCCAGAGTGCGATTCAGGCTGCTGAAGAGGGGGTGAACATCTTGTCCAACTCGACGGGCACCGACTCTCCCGACGGCTTGATTCAGGTGAAATCTGACCGTTTGGTTCGTGCCTTAGGCTCGGATCGCATCAGTTTTCTGGAGACCGGAGCATCAGACTTTGCAGCAGAGGATTCTGAGAAAGCGACGTTCGCGTTCCAAATGCTTTTGATTTTTATGATTTGCCTCATTTTCTGCCTCCTCGTCGCTGCGTCCTGGTACGCCAGCATACATGCTTTTGGGCAGGATTGCCGTGCAACACACTGGTATGATGGTACGATCTCGCCAGACGGTCTTTGGAACTGCGCCGGCTCTGTCTTCTTCTTTGCTCTGGGCGGCTTGCATTTTCGGCGCCTTTGCGTTGTTCCTACCTCTCGGCATCCTCACGCTTGTACTCTCCGTCGTTGCCGCTGCAGTGATGGCCATGAAAGAAATGAACAGCATGGCACAGATCAAGGAGCACAAGTCCGAAAAGCCCATGCCGAACTGGAAAGCCATCTCCCATCTCGCCATGTGAGCTTTTGCGCTTTGCCGAAGGCTGAGCGCGGCAGGCACACAGAACACAAGGATGTGCGCTTTTTTCATGCATCTTGAGATAAAAGAATGGAGCTGCATGCTACAAGACACCTATCAACGATGTCCGATCTCAGCTTCGCCTGTGGTTAAACATAGTGTTGGCAAGTGAATTCGAGAAGCCTCAGCAGTACACACCACGGATGTAGGTTTGCAGCGGCACGCTGCTCGAGGTACGTGCATCACAACAACTCCTGCTCCTCATCTGCTGCGGCAACTGCTTGGTGCACATGATCCTGCCGGGACGTAGAAGGCAAAACCCGAAGCAGGCACTTTCGCTCACCTCCAGAAACCATGAGACGGGAAAACCCACACCCAAATTATGTACAAGGGGTTTAGTGCTTAGTGCTTCCCCACGCAAAAATGTATTTGTTGCGACGCCACGTACCACCCCGCATTTTTCCACAGAGCACATGGATTCTCAGCCATTCGGCTGCGCTTGTACTTGTGCCTCTTGAAGCAGAAAGCTGCCATGCCAAGTGCAGCCATATGGCAGAACTGCACGTCCTTGGAACAGCTTCTGCAGAGAGAGAGATCAGTATGATTACTATTGTCATTGCTTTTCATCCTGTGCCTGTATGCATGTCTGAAGTAATTTGACTTTGTCGTTCTTGCTGGAACATGCTGGAGCCTAGAACCCGACAAGTAAGTAATTGAGTGTGTCGAGTCTCAACGGCAGATTCAAACATACGCAAGATGCGCCCGTACTTTATATGAATGAGAGTATGCATATGCGGTTTGATACATATAGCCATGAATGCATCAATGCCTATCTTCGACGTCTTGGCCTTCTTCCTCTTCTCCCCTAGTCGGTCCTTTTCATGTCTGCTGCGATTGCGATTATTGCCCTTGCTGTTGCTGTTTCTGTTTACACGACTTCTTTGTTCGGAGTGGCGACGAGGCTATCGCCGCACCGGCTTTCTTATTCCGTTCTGGCAGCTTCTGCTATGCTTTGCTGTACTGTGATATTTACTGTCACTTTCAGCCTTTCGGGCATTCGGTCCTGGTCTTGGCATGCCTGGGCATCGATGTGTTGGCCCAGAGTGTCGACACGAAGGAAGATGAAGTCGGATCAAGGCGCCAAGAGAGAATACCCTAAACCCTAAACCCTAAACCCTATAAGCCCTAAGCTCGAACTGAGGATGGTCGAGAACGAACTTGGAAGCTCAAGCTCCGAAGCTGAAGTGGAGGACAAGACTTCGGTATGCGAGGCTTCGGGGTCAGTTTGATCTAACGGTTTAGGGTTTAGGGTTTAGGGTTGACTCTATCTCTTGCAGCTTGTGTACCCGCTTCGGACATGACACATAGCCGAGCCGTGGCCATGACTTTGGCATGGAAAGCCAACGCACGGAGTTCCGGCAAATAATGGCCGTCAAGATGGACGCTGTCTAGAAGCGTTCTTAATTGTAATGGCTCATAAAAAGCTATTTTACATGTGCAAGACACCCAAATAAGTGGTCTAAGTCCCTCAAACTTGTAAAATTTGTAGGTTCTATAGATCTCTTGAGGCGCTGTGTGAAGCATCGAGCGGCTCTTGTACAACCTTCTTGAAGCACTGAAGCACCTCCTGCAAAGCCCTTAAAAGAGGCCCAGGTTAAGAAGTTGGCATCATTGAATGCAGCTCACCGCTTATGTGTGTGGGGCTTTATGAGGTTTTGCAGGGTTCCATTTTGTATTTTGCAGGGAGATGTATGCGCGTGGTAGCCTCAAACCGTAAACCCTAATCCCCAACCCTAAAGCCTAAACCCCAAGCCCTCAGACCTGAAACTTCAGACCCAAACTCTAAGCCCTAAATCAAATGTAGGAGCATCCCCATTCCTAGAAGCTGCGCTGATTGTCTTCGGTGTCCCGACACCGGCCTATTTTGGGGCTTGCTGCTACAGCAACAGCCACAATTACTGCTGCTAGTGCTGCTGCTGCTGCTACTACTACTACTACTACTACTACTACTACAACTGCTGCTACTGCTACTGCTACTGCTGCTGCGACGGGTGCTGCTACTGCTGCTGCTGCGACGGATGCTGCTGCTGCTGCGACGGATGCTGCTGCTGCTGCTGCTGCGACATGACTGCTGCTACCGCTGCTGCTGCTGCTACTACTACTACTACTACTACTACTACTACTAGCCCCCCCCCCCTTCCACCATCCGGGCTGGGCAGTGGAAGCTTCTAGGCTCCCGAACTGCGACAGGTGCAGAAGATGCAGGGGCTCAGGCTCCCTATCTGTGACAGCTCCAGAAGTTGCAGAGGCTCACTTTCCTTAACTGTCACAGTCGGTGAAGTCGCAGAGGATCAGGCCCCAAGACTGCGACAGCAGTTGGAGTTGCAAACTCGACGGGGAAGAAACTGCTCAACCACAGGTGGTCGGATAGTACGAAAACGTTGTAGATACCGTGCAAATCGCAAGTGCTGCCAAGAAGGTTTTAACACTCCTAAAACCTGA